TGGGACTAATTAAGGCACGAGTGGGTTCTGCTCTGTGCTTTCACCTGAGCACAGCCCAATCAGCAGTTATTTCACCTTCCTTTCTAATCCAGCTTCACACTTCAGTGTGTGAAGAAGAAATGAGCCAAGCACTTGACTCCCCTCTGCCTTGGAGGGGCTCAACAGGAGCAGAAGAATAATCTGTGCCGTGGCACTTCACTTTCTTATTGTCCCTTGGGTTTTTTTTATTATTATTATTACTATTATTATTATTATTATTACTAGTAGTAGTAGTAGTAGTAGTAGTTGTTGTTGTTGTTATTTGAGATGTTATTACAAAAAATTCAGCTTTGCTGAGCATGTTGGTCCTGTAAGGCTTAGTCTGCTTTCAATGGTCACAAGGTCAGCACAAAGCTGACTCCAAAAGTCTCTTTTCTTTGGAAATGGTTTGAGAAGGAAAGCAGGAAGAGGGAAAGGAAGTTTGACCTTTGAGCAAGCCATGTGCAGCTACCCATCAGATATTCTAGGGTGATTGTAGGATGAACACAATGCTCTAGGCTGATTTAAGCTTTTATGTTTAGTGCCATTCATGAAAACATGTAGGATTTGGTTATGGGTACAAGAGCAAACTGCACTGCCTTGCTCTCCCTATTATAATTCAAATTAATCTCAGACTCAGTTTCAAGTCAACTGACGATGCAAAATTCTTCAGAAAAGAAGGATTTTAGGGAAAGAGACCCTGTAACTGCAGCTGCAGAGCTTGGTACAGCAGTTACCTGCACTTTGTGAGCCCCTTGAGACTTCTCAGAGTTACCATCAATCCTTAATTTTGCTGACACTTCAGAGCTTGTCAGACACCACTGCAAAGTCTGACTGTTAAACAGCTGTATCCAGTGGAGAGAGCTGAGCATACCATCTCACCATTATTACTCAAAATGGAGTTTTCCAGTATGAAAAGATTTCTCTGTATTTGCTGTTGGAGCTCAGTGTTTTCTGCTTTTTCTCAAAATAGATTCACCCAAATAATCGGGTTTTTTTCTTGATTTAAAATTTTTTCTTGCTATCTTTGCCCCTAGAGGAGACCCTGTAAAATTTTTTTGGCCTCAGGTTTGCTGTCATATCAGAAGAACAAATGTAGGAGCAAAACCCCAGTTCTGGAGCTGTTTCCTAACAGACAGACAAGCCCCTGCACACCTTTCCAGGCTGCACATGGAAACGTCACAAAAATTGGTATTTCTGGCTCCAAACATGGGCACCTTCCCCTTTATTGAACATGGAGGGTGATTTATTGGGATACTCCTTGGAAAAGCTCTGGTAATAGGTCTTAATATGTTTCATCTCCCAATTACTTTACAATAACCTGGAGGCACGACATAAAATTGCAGCCAGGAAACAGAAGATGCTCTTGCCCAGCTATATTTATTACACACTTGGATGACTGTGGACATCACTGTGCTCCCTGAAAACCAAATATACAGATATGCCCAGGACAGCACACTGTGGCAAGACCAAAAACATTGCACAGTTTTAATAAAGGAACACCCTTCTAAAACTCTTTCCAAGAAGGCAGGATCTTTTTACCCTAGAAAAATAAAAACATTGTGCTTTTTTGTTTTTTTTTTTTTTAATATAGAATAAAGGAAGGAAGGAAGGAAGGAAGGAAGGACTGGCATCTACAACAGTAATTGCTGAAATAAAGGATTCTGGTACACCTTACATCTCCAGATCTCTCTATCCTCGTAGTCAGAATGGGACTACAGATAGGTATATACACTATATTACATAGGTATATGAAATATCTACTCTAGGTTGTTGTTGGAAGAACTGCATTGGAGTTTAAGTCCTCCAGAAAAGAAAAAAAAAAAAAAATCTTCTCTGGCTTCTGTTTGAAATGGTTTTACCATCTCAGTGGAAATGCAAGAATCACAGGATGATCACAGGATGATGAAGAATTTCTCCCTAATATCCAGTCTAAACCTGCTCTCTGACAATTTGAAGCCATTCCCCTTTGTCCTGTCACTCCATCCCTTGTAAAAAGCCTCTCCCCATCTTTCTTGGCAGCTCCCTTCAGAAAATGTTCTCATCTTTATCCTCACCACTCACACACTTTCTTTTTCTCTTTGTTTTTCTTTTCAAATAAATACTACCTTTTTTTTCCCCCCACAAAAACCTTGTCCTCTTCAAACCATGGTAAGCATCACTCTTAAATATATTTATAACTATGTAATTATATATATTATATATTATCATAATATACTATTATTATATAATAATATATTATATATTATATATATTTATAACTAAAATTATATTCTTTCCTTTTACAGTAGAGTTTTTCCCTCAAGCTGGCTCTCCTTTTTGAAGATGTTAATGAATAACCAACGAATCAGAAGAAAATAAAAAAAAAAGAAAAATAAATGAGAATTTGATATTTTCCAGTACTTAATAGCTTCCAATACTTTCCTGTGTGAAAGACCAAAGAATCTGATCTTGAACAGTAAAAAAATTCAAAAAATGGGGTTTTTTATTGCATCTGTTCTAATGAACTATGTTTTATTTTCATTTAAATTCTCATCTGCAGAATTGAGGGATTGTGAGATAATAAGAAACTTGCTAAAGTCTGTAATAGATTTTTAATGATTGTAGCCTTGTCAACCGCTGTCAGAGGGTGCATTAAAAAAAAAAATTAGATTTAGATCCATATAGTTAAATGTTATTGCACAGTCTTTTTTCCCCCAAAATTTGGGTTTAAAACCAATATAGGCTAATAAAAAATAAATTATCTGTAAGTGGCAGCCATGATGTTTTGAAGAGCTGCCATGTTTTTTTCCCTAAAAAGGAGATTACAGAGACCTGAGTGTCCCCTACTCCTGATCCCAGGGGGAAGGTAGGATTGAGCCACTCTCAGATATCCCATAGGTAGAAGCAACTCAGATTGTGTCCTCTCAGCCCATGTTTCCAGAAAAAATATGCATATTTTCTTACAACAGGGAATGTATAAACTCAGAAAAAAATTAAGGTAGTTAATCCTGAAGAAATTACAGTTTTTTCCTCCAGCCAAGACTCACATCTACAGATGTACATGCACCACGTAGCAGATTATTTTAAAATGAAGCAAAATAAAGACATCCATCCACTGTTGTGTTAAATAGTTGCAATCATAATTCAGAGAACCTTAAGCATTCTTTAAATGCAAAAAACACAAGCTTTCCCTTATTCTGTATATACTGATGGATTAATTCTGCATCAGAATATGCAGAATAATGGAAAGCTTGTGTTTTTTGCATTTAAATACAGCTCTGACCTGTGGTGGCTGGAGTGCTGGTGAGTCCAGCAATTCAGATATTCCAGACCTCTTTGTGCAAACACACCCAGCTCAGTGACAAAAAATTATGATATTATCAAAATCCAAGAGCATAATAAGGAAGTGAATTTACCAAGCTTAGAGAGTGCAACATAGAACAACTGATCATCAATTACGTGGGTTTTAAATATCTACCAAATGCTTAGAAATTTCTTTGAACTACAATTTTTGAAAAAACTATTTCAAGGCGATGTCAGGAGTCAATAAAACATGGAGAGAAATTAAATCTATAATATGAGCCACATAGAGACACAGGTATTGCCATCAATGACACAATTTGCCAGAAAATAAAAATTATTAATATACTGAGGAGGTGTACTGAAACATTTCCAGACGCTTGAGCATCATAAACACAAACATATTCCTGAGCAGACTGCACAATATTTAACTCAGACTATTTTTTTTCCATTCTGCACAGCCCTGTAACAATACATTTCCAATTTTTGCACACATAAATCATTTGTATGTGCAACAACAGCTGCACTCTGCATTATCTATAATTCAGATATGTACTATACTGGAAATATTTCACCTACCTATTTGTTCTCCCATGAATTTCTTACAATATTTACACTTTAAAACGCTAGATTTTCTTTGCCCAAATTCCTGAACAATTCCTCACATTTTCTCCCTCTGTCAGTAAATAGATTAATGCACATAACTACTTTAGTACAGATTGCTTCACTTCAATCTGTTCAGTCTACGGCAGTGCTTAAGCCTCCACTGTTATCTGTGAAGATATTTGGGATTAAAATGCTATGAAACTATAAATATTGATTACATACCTCATTTAAACATAACCAAACTAATTTAGACTCGGGATTTCTTCTGATCCGTGAGTAACATCACTACTAAAAACAATTACAACCCAGCACATGTTTATGACAGTCAAATTTCCTTGGCATGCAGGAGCTCTTTATCAAAGTTAAAATGCAAACCCACTGCCACAGCACCCGAAAGCTGGTTTTACGTCTGGTATAAAACAAAAACCATGTTATTTTCCCCTCAAGCAGGCTAGAAAAGCAGGGCTGTCTGAAGCCTTCATGTCACACACACAGAGTCACAGGGATGCAGCAACACAGAAGTGAAATACATTACTGGGAGGATGACATCCCACTCAGTTATAATTGAACCAAAGGAAACATCAGGCATTTGGGGAGGGGGGAAGAAACAGGAAACATCTCTGTCACGTTCATATTTTCTGAAAAAACCTTTCACCCAGGATTTTTCTCCTGGGAAGCTGAGAAGCCTCAGAGAAAAAGGAAAACAATTTTATCTCATTTGCTTCTCCTGTGTTTTGCTGCTCTGGAATGTGGTTGGAGATTGTTTATCCAACAGGTGATTGTTTCATGTGAGTTATTTTGACTCAGTGGCCAACCAGTGCCAAGCTGTGTCAGGACTCTGGAGAGAGCCACGAGTTTTCATCATTATCTTTTTAGCCTTCTGTAAGTATCCTTTCTGTATTCTTTAGTATAGTATAGTTTAGTATTCATTAATATAATATAGTATCTTAAAATAATAAATTAAATTTTTGAGAACAAGGAGACAGATTCATCATTCCTTACTTCGGCTGGGAACCCCACAAACACAATACATCTCTGCCATTGCCAGCTGGGGAGAAAAAAAAAATAAAAAATAAAAAGCCATCAGAGCCTACCTGAGACAAGCGAGACTGTGTCTTTCTCCCATGAGACAACAGTGATGTATGCCTCCACAGAGGAGGGGATAATGCACTTGAACACTGCTACATTGCCTCTCATGGCTTTCTGGTCCTCCACACGGACTGTATAGGGTTCCCGTAAAACTGCAGGGACAAGAGGAGGCTTTGTTACAGAAATTGTTTCACCGGCTGCAGCCCCAGGTCTCACCCGCTGCCTGGGCCAGCCCTGCAAAGTGCCCCCAGAATCACGCTGGGAGATCTCACCTCAGTGAATGGCACACACTTACAAAAGCATTCCTGTTGTTATGGGACACGAAATAAAAAAAAATGTGGATACTGGAATTTTTAAGGTAAAAAGAAGGTTGTTTAATTTCTGACTTTGACATTTGTAGATTTTCAAAAGTGACAGTGGATTGGAGGGTGACAGCGCTACCTCTCCAATGACACTGGACAAACCAAGAGTTTAATAAATTTTTCTTCTCTCAGAAAAGAATGCAAAACAATAAGGATTTACAGAAAAGCACGTGAGGAAGTTCATTACAAGAATGCAAACATCAGAAGCCTTAGAAGAACTTAAAAAACAAATTTTTCACAACAAGACAACACATTCCCAGATTTTTTGTTTCCTCATCTGCATCTCTTACTCTGTGTTCTCTCCTCACCTGATTGTGGGAGGCTCAGGTAGGAGCTGCATATTTATGTGGGTAAATGGTGTTATGCTTCATGTTACTTGTGCAGTTTCCCCAGCCACATTTCCCTTCACAAAGGGTTTTGTGCTCTGTCAAAGAGCACAGAGGTACATGCAGGTGCTGTGTGTGAGTTAGACATCCAGAGAGGAGAAGGGAAGGTCAGTGTCATTTAGGATTTTGAAGAAGTGAGAACCAAAGGAGAAAATCAATGGAGGTGACAGAGAGAAAAAAATAAATGTGTGTCAGGAATACACAGAAATGAGAATAAGAAGAGAGCTACAGTTGATTGACTGGCCCTGAAAGAGATCAGTTAGTGGGAAAAAAAAAAAAAGCCAGAAATAAAGCCACAATTGTATTTAAAAGAAAAAAAAAAAACACGTTATAATAAAATCCAACATGATTAAAAAAATGTTTAGAATCAGCATAGTATTTGTCTTGAGTGTGAAAGAATTAATTTAATGGGAAAAAAGAGAAAAAAGAACAACTGGATGAACAAGGAGGATAAAAGCACAACTGGAAAAATCACTCCCACCACTCCAAACTGATAATATTGGAATGAGATGAAGTTGCACTGGGTAGGAGAATGGAAAGAAGGCAAATCCTGAAATAATTCCATGAAGAGTGAGGGATGAGCATTTCTGTGAGCAAGAGTTGATGGAGAAGGTGGCAGAGCAGAGAAGAGAGAGATGTTTTCTACAGCGACAGGACAGACAGGCACAACAAAGATTCTCCATGGAAACACAAGGTCAAGGTGCAAAAAAAAGGGAATCACCACAGCCAAAACAAACCATTTCAATGAGAACAGGGATGAGTGCACTGGAAATTTCTCAGTGTGCCTGAGACCTGCTTCTGCCTGAGGGTAAAAGTTATTGGGAAGAACAGCAATGCTGAGCTGCCACGTTACAGGGACATTTCTTGCCCACGTTTCCTGTCCACACACAGAAAAAGCTCTTACACAAATACATTTAGCCCCACTGATTCCAGCTGGAAAGTCAGTAAATTCTTACAAAAGTGTTTCTAAGCACCAGGAGCACTGGAATTTCCAAATGTCTGCCCCACTTAGGGTGTATTTCAAGAAAAAAATGGCAGAGTAATGAAATGTAACCACAGCCTTCAAAATGCAAACAGCATCAAATTTTCAGGTCCATTGTTACCACTGCAAAAAGTAAGATTGAAGTTCTGCATCCCAAAAATTGCTATAACAATATAACTTGTAGAAGAAGTAACCAAAAATAAGTAAGTTTAATTAAAAATGAAATATCTTTTTTTTTAAAGGAAAAAATATCTATTTCCTATTACAAGATAGACACCGCTGGTTTTTAAAAATGCAATAATTGACTTCTAATCAAAGGTTAGGATTCTTAACTCTGTTATGACTGTTAAACTGGTATTAAAAGCACCTTTAATGCAGGGATTTTACAGCATTGGCTGCCCTGTGGTGAGGCAGTTCCCTGACCTTGTCCTACACCCAGGGAATGGCACATGGATCATCTTAATGAGGCTGATTTGTGTCTGTGCTCTTGCTCCAGCCATCATTTCCAGGAAAGGCCTGTTCAGCAGCAATATCCAAACTCACTGCTGAAGCTCTTTGCACTTTTGAGAACAGTTGGGTGCTTTGAAAATCCGCCCAACTGATCTTGTCAATAAAATCCTACACAGAAACCATGTGAGGCACAAAAACTGGAAGGAAGTCTATTAATTTACTTGCTTAAAAAAAAAATTTACATTATTGGGATTTACGAGACTCCTCAGCTATTTCCAGATCGTAGTTTTGACAGTTTCCATGAATAAATTGCTGATTTTTACTTTTTCTATCATATTTTTTTTAAATCCCAAGTCCCCAGGTCATTAATTTATATGAGAATGTCAGCCTTTGCTAAAGAAAAAAAAAGAAAAGAGACTTCACTGCCATGACTGCCCAGGAGAGCTTGAAGATAAAATGGAGTCCTTTACTCCCATGTGGGACTGGTATGGAAGAGGATTAGGTTTGGGTGTCTAGGCTGGGGGAGTGTGATTTTTGGGAGGAGTTTGGGAATATTTGTTGCACTATATCCCAAATTCTGTGTAAAACCACAATTACAATTATCTGTGAGCTGGAATTTTTGTATCTGCTCCCTATATTCCTGGGAAAAGAGGTAAATGAGCTCCAGACTTTCTCAAGCTGCCTTGGAGAATGTGCAGAACCCTATTAGTCTTTGTGCTATGACCAAATTATCCACTGATTTCTTCTGCATTCTTAAGAAACCAATTGCTGTTGGAGTGCAACTGGAAGGAGGAAATTTGAAAAAAAAAAAAAAAAAAATCAAAATCATGTTAATTACTGCCTGTCTGAAATATTTTTCAGATTTCACAAGAACAGGAACAATTTGCAAGCACTACATAAAGAAATGAAGCTTCTAATTTCAGGGTTTATCATCTGAGCATGAAATACACTTGACTGCCATGCACAGAAGACTCTCCAAATTGTGTTTTCCTGTGATTGAGGGGTTACACAGCCCTTGGAAAAGATGCTCACTGGTAGCTGTGGCCTGCCATCAGGCACAGGGACAGCTCTGACACTCAGCATCAGCTCATGTGAAGGAAGGGAACTCGTTATCCAAACCCCAGATTAACTGAGAAATTGAGTTAAATTGGTAAATTAGTGGAAATGGGGTAAAAGGTGGAAGGAAATGGAAGGGAAAGAAAGGGAAAAGGAAAGGGAAGGGAAAGGGAAGGGAAGGGAAGGGAAGGAAAAGGAAAGGAAAAGGAAAAGGAAAAGGAAAGGAAAGGAAAGGAAAGGAAAGGAAAGGAAAGGAAAGGAAAGGAAAGGAAAGGAAAGGAAAGGAAAGGAAAGGAAAGGAAAGGAAAGGAAAGGAAAGGAAAGGAAAGGAAAGGAAAGGAAAGGAAAGGAAAGGAAAGGAAAAGGAAAGGAATTCATGACTTGGCAAAAAAAAAGAGTTGTTAATTTCTGAGCCAAGCACCTGCACTTCCAACAGCAAACTCCTTTTCCAAGGTCCTTTTTATTATTTTCAAGGTTCCTTTCTCAAGCAGAGGGAGAAATCTTGTTTTGGAGTTCCATGGATGAATGTTTGACCTAAAGGAACACCAGCTCAGAGCCTTAGCCAGCAAAACTGAAAGTTTTAGCCTCCTTTGTATCACCACCTTAGTTAAACTAAGAAATGTAAAAATTGGAAAGCAATCCTGGAAAAAATTGCTGCCCAAAAGATGTTCAAAATGGAGACACATTAACAAATCCACAAAAGACAAAAATAAATATGATGTTGTCTCTAAATGTAATTCAACCAGACAACTTGCCCTCAAATCCATGACAGTAAAATCAAAAGCTCAAAAACCAGAACGGAGTTTCAAACATAAAGTTGGTTACAGTGTGTTCATATGAATCTTTGATTTTCAAGGGTTTTTTTTTTTTATGGACAACTAAATAATTTCATAAGAAGCACAGACCATCATAGAACTCCCCATACATGTAACATGATAACTTGCTTCTACTGGTTGCTTCTTGTGCAAGAAAACCCACTTTCCTAGACTAAAATTTTAATGAGACACGAATTTCATGGAAACCTGGTTTTTATTCTTGCTTCCCAGCTGCCTACAAACTACAGATCTCTGAATGTTAACTTATTGTGAAGAAGAAGAGAGTGCATTTTATTATTTAAAAAGAAAGTCTCAGGCACATCTCCTTGTTAACTCTTCATAGTTTTTTTTCCCCTGTGAAACTCCTGTGAAGATAAATTTCTAGAGGAAAGGTTGTTCTCTTCTGAGAAAAGCCAAGCATAACTGCACAAAAAACAAAGAGCTTCCAAGGATTTGCATTTGCCAAGGGTCAGCTCCCAGACTATTTATTGTTTGTTTGTTTGAATATTTTAATTAACTGAAGCAGATAGACCAAAATCTTCAAAAGCTGTGCAGTTATGTGTTTGTGTGTTGTAAAAAGGCCTGATTTTGATCCCTCTGTAATTCCCCACTGGGTGACCCAGTCAGTACAGAAAACTGATGCAAAACCATCCTGCTTATTTGCATATTTTAGCTTGAAGAGAAAGCACTGCCCGTGGACCCACATCAGCTTTTGAATCATTGCAGGGAACAAAAATTTCTCTCAAAACAAAGCACAAGGACCAAAAACAAATGAGGAGGGGTGTGATTTTAGGCCAATCATTCCTCTTCTCTTCCAGCCCATATACAAAATCCATCCTCTTCTCACCCAGTTCTTTATTGTGCATGCATGGTCTGATTGTTGATTTGATTATCAGTTCGTTTCTTCTTATATTTGTGCTCAACTGATCTTTGGAAAACTAACTTTTCAGCAACAAAATAATTCAAAGTGGGGAGGAGAGGAAAGAATTCATGATATTACTTAACATTGTTAAGAGTTTAGAGGTTACACTTGTGGCCAACCTCCCTTGACTGATACCTGCTGCTACTCCTT